AAATAAAGCACCGAAATGTGCGCTGCTTTAAGGTCTGGTTACCGTTTATGTCAGAACCGATACCGGTACCCATCCCTAGGTAAAATAAGTCATTTGCTCTATAGTTCTTATTTATGTAGAGCTTCTACCGTCATGGAGACCAATGGACCTAAAATGACCCTCAACAACCGGGAATTGGTATTTTTAAGATTTAGACATAAGCTGAAGTCTTAGCTGATGTTCCTCATGGACGTAATTTGATTTATGAAGCGTAATATTTTTATGGCTACTTGTTCTTTTATGTTTAGTCGCACTGCTGTTATTTGGCATTTGGATGAGGTCTACTGGGGCTTATAAAGATGGATTTTATTTACTTCTGGGAGACCACTGGGGTCTGTTGTTAAAAATATGTAATGATCTTTGTAATCCAATTACAGCTGTATGATCCATGTAGCTGTCCTGATTGTGTGTACTGCGTTAAAGACGTGAAACAGTATAATCTATACAGAATAGGATGGATTCCCATATCACCGTCATCAATGAAGCAAGAGGGTGAAATAATCAGACTGTGGAGCCTCCTGTTGAATTTAAATGGACTTTTCTTTGGAGGAAGTCTCCAGTGGGTTATGGAGCTCTTAATATACATCACGAAACATAAACATTATAGTAATTAACCTGTAAATATAAAAAGGAATCAAACATGTTCGGTTGTACTCTTTGATCTCCATAATTCCCGTTATTCTGATGACTTTATATATACTTTATGTTTAATGAATTCAGAAATGTTTTGGTGCACAGACAGAAAGAAAGGCTGCTTTATCATCTTTAAAGCTGCTTTTAGACAGGTTGGATTCTTTATCTGTGTTACTATCTGGCTCTGTTTTGCTGTTATTGGAGTCTTGTAAGCCTACTGGGCTTTATAAAATCAAATCAATGTGCAAAACATAATATACTTGTTTGTCTCTGCAGGCTTCCTGCCAGCAAACACTGAAGCTTAATGAGCATTTAAGGTGCTCGAGTGGCAGGAGGAGGAAAGTGGAGCAGTTTGTGTGTGTTTTGGAGACTTTGAGACTTTTTTGTGGACCTGAATGCTATGGAGAGACAACAATCAAACGTTTTCCTCTGAAATAGTTTTGTGTTTTACATTTTTTAATACCAAAAAGTGGTTTTTATTTTTTTTTT